TTATTCACATGAAGTGGTTAGCCAAACATAGATCCTAAATTAAAAAGAATGCGAGGAAAAAAGAGATGGTGGAGAAGTTCTAGAAATGAGATCTAGATAAGGACAATCGAAGACTCTTCCAATAAATTAAGAAAAATGAGTCTATTTTATCAACTTCATAAGAAACAACAACAAATGAAGTAAGATATATGTGAAAAAACCCTGGCATAATCAATATCATTAGAAAACTTAACCAGAACATTGCTTTGACCCAAAATAGTGATAGAAAACTCACCTAAAAGTTTGAGGTTGAAAAAAATTAATGAAATCTAACACCGGCCTTCGAAGCGGAAATTTCCCAACTAAAGCATAATCAAAAGGTTTGGCAAGATGAAGAATTTCTTCCTCAGAGATCCATACTGCAGGCAAACCCCTAAGCGTAGTAACTTTCAGATCCAGAAAGCCAGGATTGCTATGCTTAAAGATGGAGGACATCGAAAGACCACACCAAAACAAAATGAAAAATGAACAAAATAAGAAAGGAATGAAAACTAGAGAAAAACCACGGAAAACCCACAAAAAACCTAAGATACAGAGGCTAGGGTGAAGCCCTAGCTGAGCGAGGGTGGAGCATTGCAAAAGAAAACAAGATAGGTAACTTCCCTGAACATATCAAAAGCCAAGACAAAGGAAGAGGCAGAAGTGACGATCCCACCGTCTGGACGATTTCCCCGACCTGATCTGCATACGAGACCCCACCATCTCGATGAAGGAAGGACGTCGTCGCACGTTGTAAGTTCTATCCTGGTCACTCTATTTGTATTACATTTAGATAGAGAGTTGTACTTATGAAAATTTAATTATGTAATATTAATATATATTCAATGCATATGTGCTTAGTTAAGACATATTAAGACCTCACTAATTTTACTAATATGGATAATCCATGTGATATTTATGAAAATTGAAACATCTCAATTAAGAAAAAGAATTTAGCATGTGTATCAAAAATTTGGGGGCTCTAAAATATGAATTTTACTATATGTTTTCGATTGACATGAATTTTAAAAATATCACATAGGAATTAAAATCCTTTTGATGAAAATCTATCATCACTAGAATTTTTAAAATCCAAACAATATTTACAAAATGGCTCTTCACTATTTTGTATTGCAACCACAAGGATTGCAGTGCTCCAAAGTGAGTTAATGCTCTCACATCCATCATACACCCAATATGGCCTAATTGATCTAGTCATATTTGTCAAGTACAAAGAACTAGGTTCAAGGCAAGCCAACAAACAAAGAGAAATAAATTGCCACCTAATTGCAGTCTCTAAAGAACATGTTGAACTTATTGGTGAGCTTATTTCTTCAAAGCAATTAAACATATATCATGCTACTCAACCAAACTCTTATTCCACATAAAGATCATATAACATCATCAAGGCAACTCAAATGAAATTGACCAAGTCTTAAAGCTATTTGACAAATCTAAGTGAAGTCACTAGGGACATCATTAGAACTAGATCATCCTTTAATTAGAACTTCTTAAGAGTTCTTTGTGATTTTTTATAACTATAAATTAGCTAAATTCATTCACTTTATAGCAAATACATGTTAAGTCTTATTATATTATTTTAATTATTTTTATATTTTTTGTAGTATTATGACTTGACCACAACCTATAAATAGGAGGTAAGAATAAGTGTTTAGAACACTAAGGCTTCATTTGGGATAGCTTGTTTTCTGATTCTTAAAACAACTTTTCATTACAAAAATTAAAATTTTGTACTAAAAAGCTGCTTTAAGAAGTAGTAAAAAAATCGTCCCAAATAAAATCTAAGTCAAATCACCACAGTTGCACTTTCTAATAACGCAGAAGAATTTTAACGCTTCTCTTTCTAAGTTTTTTTTCTCTTCTTATTTATTTCTTTTCAATTTGGTTCACGATTGTTAGTACAATTTGGTAGACATCTTTGGACAAGTTTGAATATGACACTTTTGGTATAATAATGAATAAAATTTACAATGGGCATGTTTCTATTTCTTGGTCAATTGTTTAATATTCCTGTTTAGGTACCTCCAATTAATTATTGGTAGTCACTTCATTGGATTTAAGTTGTAATTCATAAATACAAATTTAAAATATAAATAATTTTATTTTATTTCAAAATAATATTTACAACTAAACAAAAGCTTAAAATCAATGAAAATTTTACTTAGGTGTGAAGGAAGTTGGTAGAGTGTTTTCTCTCATATCAAGATCTCCCATTTTGAAACATACTAATCCCTAACCTTTTAATCTTATTTGTGATTAAATCTCTCACTAAAAAATAGAAAAATAAAATTAAAATGTTTTTTTTTTTAGATTTCTAGAAAAGACGAAATAAAGTAAAAATATATGTACCTAAGATGTGTGTTTAAAAAAGTTATATTTTTATCTAAAATTTTTAATATTTATTTATTATAAATTAAAATTATATTAATCCCGCGCTCGCTCATTCCCGTGTCGGGTCGAGTCAACCCGGTAACCCGTAGGGTCGGGTCCGGGTTTGATTATTCGACCCGTTTACCTACCCGGGTCGAGTTAATTAGGGTCGATTCGATTGAACCCGGGTCAATTCCGGGTTCGACCCGAACCCGACCCGCGACCCGAAATTGACACCCCTAATAAGTTGTATCATATCAATATCATTGATATATCACAAAAAAATTATCTTGATCGGGCATGAATCTCGAGGCAAAATCAAGTTAGAAAGTTTAAAAATAAAATAGACGATCATATAAACTCTAATTTCAGCAAACTTACTGTCGAACAAAACGTCTTGAAAGTATGAACCCAACGACACCAAATTCAACTCAATCTGAGCCCAAATGAGTCAAAATCAAGGACCCAAAGCACATTTGGAATGTTCAATCCATAATTTGGATTACCAAACAATTCTCAAACTTAACATGCTTTCAGTTGAATCGAGCGGCTCAACAAGATGAATCCAACAAGCCTAAGATCATCAAATTCTGATATCATTAAGAAATTCAAATGTCCAATAAACAGTCCATGATCGAGGGATTTAACATCGGCCGTATATTCAAACCCTTCACAATTTATCCTTGATCTTCCTTCTATTTATTGGTCATGCCACTCTCAGAAAACAGACCCCTCATTTCTCATGAAAGGGGAGGAAGAAAGTAGGAAGGAGGCCCAAGCAAGAAGAGAATGAAGAGTTCTCTTGCTACCAGACTCCTCCTCGACCGCCTCCTGGCCACCGAATAGTGTCGGATTTCTACCCATCACCAAATTTCTACCTGATGCCGGACTTTCGCTCGTCTCCGAACATCTGTCCATCGTCAGACTTCTAGCCGACGTCAAACTTCCGCTCGTCGCTGGACTTTTATTGGATTTCTATCCAATGCCGAATTTCCGTCGTCTCCGGACTTCTGCCCATTGCTAGACTTTCGTTGGATTTCTACCCGATGCAAAAACTTTCGCACATCATTGGATTTCTGCTAGTTGTTGGACTTTCATCGAACTTCTACCTGACACCAAACTTTTGCCAGTCACCGGACTTGTCCATCGCGGGACCTCTAACTAACTCGTAGTCGGACTTCTGTCTATCACCGGACTTTCTTCATTCATGGGACTCCTGTCCGTCGTCGGACTTTCATCGGACTACTACCAGACTTCGAACTTTCTCCTGTTACCAAACTTCTTCCTGTCGCCGGACTTTCATCGGACTTGAACCTGGCACTAAACTTCTGCCCATAAATGTACTTCTGCTAATCGTCAGACTTACGTCGGACTACTATCCATCACAGAACTTTTGCCCGTCGCTGGACTTCTGCCCGTCGTTGGACTTTCATCGGACTACTACCCGATGCCGAAATTCCGCCCGTCGCCGAACTTCTGCCCATCGCAGGACTTTCGTCGAACTTCTAACCGATGCTGGACTTCTACACATGGCCGGATTTCTACTCGATGACGACCTTCTGTCGACTATAGTACTTCCGACTTCTGTTGCTAAACAACGGTCTTTATGACCTCCGTCTTTTGCCGGCTAAGGTCTTTCCGATCTCTGTTGTCCGCTGACTACAATCCTTTCATTCTCCGTCGCCAGACAATGGTCGTTTCGACCTACGTCGCTAGGCAGTGTTCTTTCCGACCTTCGTCGCCCACCAATATTGATTCTTCCTATTTTCACCATGTAACACAATCTATATGATTTATATTTATTACATCAAGTCAAAGCCTTACCCCAAGAAAGGGTCTCATTTGTAATCAACTCGATAATAGTAGATTCATTCAAACTGGGTCAGGCCCCATTGTTTTTCCCTTTTTAGAATTTTCCACTAAAAAATCTTGGTGTCTCTTATGAATACTAAAACGTTAAACTTTATATTTCTCTATCACCGCAAATATTTCAGGACCCAACAATCATTATTTATTTATTATCAAAATTAAAAATTACCAAAAAAAAAAATTGCATGACGTTAAAAACTAATATATTTTAAAAAAATTTGAGATATATTATTACTCATAATAATATAAATAAATAAAGATATTATATATATATAAAATGACTGCCACTCACACTTCTTGGTGGCTACTTTCATGACGTATCGAGCAGGCATTGGCCCTTTCAAAGATCCATGGACCCACCAATCTCATCTTTCTTATATGCACTAATGACTGTTCGTCACGTCTCTAAACAGAATTGCATCAGAATAAAAAAAAGTTTTCTTAGTAAAATAAAATAAATAATTAAAAAAGAGCCTCTCCACGATTCCGGCTTATACATTTGCTCCTACAATCAATTACGTCGCAGTGGCAGTATCGTTAATTTCCGTAAATTCTTGCTCATTTATTACTGATGGCCATTGTAATCCCGCCGTCAAGTGAGCTTGGTTGTCCGTACGAGGACGTCAGGCGACGGTATCGGCCAATGAAAAATAGACAACGAGCCTTAAAAAACCGCTTCGGTTTTCCTAAACCGCTTACCTCTTCTTAAGAAGCTCGTCCTCCCCCACTCTCTGCAACTCTCCTGCCTTCAAAGCACGAACCTCTTTCTCTCTCTTCTGGTTCGTCTTGAACTGGTACTTATGAAGATTTAGGTTTAAAGAGAGAGAGAGAGAGAGAGAGAGAGAGGAGATGGGGAGGGGAAGGGTGCAGTTGAGGAGGATCGAGAACAAAATAAAAAGGCAGGTGACTTTCTCGAAGAGGAGGTCGGGATTGCTGAAGAAGGCGCACGAGATCTCGGTGCTCTGTGACGCCGACGTCGCCCTCATCGTCTTCTCAAACAAAGGGAAGCTCTACGAGTACTCCACTGATTCCAGGTATTGCTACTGTTGATCCGATCATGAATCTGAGTTTTTGATCACATCTCATATATAAATGTTTCGTAATTTTGTACCGTTTATTGCTTGTTTTGTAATGGGGGAGTTTGCGCACGTTAGCGGAGCTCGCCTTGAAAAAATAATTGAGGCATTATTTGATGATTTCTCTGTTAATTTGACTAATTTAAGATCAATGCAACAAACCTTTAGTTTAAAATAAAAAATATCTTGCCCGGACTTGCAGAGTCAAAGCGCACGTTAGCAAGGAGCATGTAGCTTTCGTATCTGGGGCTCCGCGCCATTTTCCCGAGTTTTTTTTTTCCTTAGATTTTGTTACTTTCTTGTTTTTGGTAATCTTGGCCTTCCCCTAATTTCTGATTTGGAACGATTATCCTTTCTTTATCTCCACGACGTTCTAAGTTGTTTCTTTTTTAGTACATATTATTCTAAGCATTTTATTATTATTTGGTGTGAGGTTGTGCAGTATTTTTTTTTTAATATTGCTATAAATTATAATAATCTCGCTCACAATATATGCTAATCTTGAACCCAGTCCATGTGAAGGAGGCTTGTCTCTCGTCCAACGTACCATCATATCGCCTACTATTCAGCTTATTTTGATCTGTTGGTTGAAAGTTTTGACTATTAATTAAGAGATTTTGAATTTGAAACTTATATATATATATATATATATATGTGATATGATATCTATTAAGTTTTTTATTAATGACTAAAATGTCCAAAAAAATAAAAAATAAAAAAATATCCTGCAGTCTGTTTGGTTGCTATTCCTGTAGTCTCCATTATTGAACAGGAAAATTTTTTTTTGAAAGGTTGTTTTGATGTGCTTCAAAGTCTTTGATTTTTTCTTCTTTTTTTTTCATTATGATAGCGTACTTTATTATTGCTATACTCCGTTGACTAGAGCAAGTTTTTTAGGCCAAACAGGCTCTATCAAATATGGAGAATTTCATGTGATTGTTGCCTGCGCAAAAGGGTGAGATGAATATATACTGAAAGAGGACAGATATCATGGAGAAATTTTTTAAGGTTTGATAATTATAATCTGAATACCCAGCAATATGAGGACTTATACAACTACGAAAAATATGTAGCTGGCTCTGTTCACTAAAAATCTTTCTGTAGTGATGAGCCTTTTTGCTTGGCAGCAGGGTTTGAACAGCTCCTCCCTACATAGCCAGAGCACTATATGGAAAGTAGAGTACTTAAAGCGAGTTTTGGGTGGTGGGGGCCGTGAAACTACCTAGGATGCAAAGAGTTATCGCTTGAAAAGGGTAAGGATAGCGATGATAACTGGTGTTTGGTTATCATATCAAAGGAATCTGCGTTCATTAAGCTACCACTCCTTTATAGTTTGACAGCGTAAAACAAGGCCTAGGCTTAGTTTATAGGTTTCAAATAGTGAAGCAGGGATGTGATACCTGATAGGTACACTAGAGAACGATGTGATACAAGGTGGCTGACTGGAGAAACGCTATAATAATATTAGAGAGGTTGGACCGTCGGATATCATGGAAAAATAATATTTAAATTTATAAGATTTTTTTTTTAAAAATAAATTTTAAATTTATGAAAGAAATAATATTATACCATTCTTCAAAAATAAAATTTTCTCATTCAGAAATGATCCCGTTCATCACCGGTTCTCTGTGAAACCAGTTATAACTTAAACCGTAACCGTCCGGCCGGTCGGTCCGATCCGGTTTAAAAGCCTTGATTATTATTTGACTATTTTTAGAAGAGATGAGATTATATTATTCATAATAAATTTTTTTAGACATTTTTTCACAAAAAATCTATAGCTACTTTTAAAAATAGTTATTCTTCATTTCAATTCTCTTTTTTAGAACAAGTTTTTATGTCTAGTGTTCTATATTTTTATTAAGAATTTTTTTCATTTAATATTTTAATAATCTTAAAAAAGAATCTTTCATTCAAAGAGACTAAAAGTTTACTCGAAGAAGTTTGGCAATTTGTTTTATCGTTTTTATATTATTGAATTTTTTATTTTATTGATAAAAATAATGATCTATGCTAACTTTATGACTACAAAGAGAAATAGTTAGAATTCTAAGGAGCTATTCCTCCTCCCATTATCTTTTATTAGGTCTTCTCTTTTGAGACATCTTGGATCCTCTCTAGCTAATAGAATATAAAATGTCATCCGCTTATTACTTGGACAAAGATTGGTATGAGAGTAACGGCTAATTAAGTGGATCATGACCAAAAGAACAATAATAATTAGCTCTTCATAGTTGATGTCAGTAGCTTAGCATATCATCAATCATATCTCCCTCTTAAGGATTTTCCTTCTTACTTTGATGACAAGGTGGGTAAAATGCTTATCATTTCATAATAGTGGCTTCCTCCTTTATCTAGCGATCAAAATAATCTATTGATTATGTTCTTTTCTGGTGAACAAGTCCCTCCCATAAATTTGTGAAGGAAAATTAGTTATTATGTTTCATTCTATAAAATAGCGAACTTGTTTTAGTTTTTATATGAATGTCTTTCATGTCTAATTTATGGATTCTTAAAAAAAAAACATAAAGGAAAAATAAATTATAACTTCACTTCCTTCCAATGTGGTGGGAGATTTTAGAGCAAAAATGCAATAGCATAGTGCTCCCTATGCATTAAAATAGTACCCATACTTATTAGATTTAGTCCCCTCTAACAATAGATGAGATTTTTAGACCACTAGCTATCAACAGGTGGTTTGGAGACTAAAGAGGATTCTAGAGTAAATCAAATGCATACGGGTCCTTAGAGGACCAAATGCTCACTAATACATCATTCAAGAAAAATCTAATGAGCCAATGATCCTAACTATTACCAAAAACTAAACTGAAACTCCCTGAGGAGACAAAAAGCCAACCCTCAAAAGAAGACAAGTAAGATCTTCAATAAAGGCACGAGGGACAAAAGGAAGCCACAACTTGAAAGAACAATCACTAATACCAGCCTCAATTTGAAAGAGCCACAAAGCGACCCACAACAGGAAAAAAAGCTACACAAAAGAGGAAAAGAACAGACTAGAAAGTTAATGGAAGAGAAGAGATACCTGAAGGAAAATCAACAAAATGTGCCTCCAGCTGAAGCGTGCTTACATAAAGGCTAACAAAAGAATAAGCAAATAGAAGAAAAAACCAAGAACGAGGGCACCCAACCAAGGCAACAACGACCACCAAACCAACAACCAACCAAATATGCTATAAAAGTTAGCTCACAAAGACAGAAGAAAAGAAAACACAACAGCATAACCCAGCCATCAACCAACAAACACTACACCAACAAATAGCCCAACTCGGGCACCAACACAATAACATGACAAAAATAGAACCAGAGCAGCCAAAACACAACACCAAAAAATTCCAAAGATGCCCAAAAAACCCACAAACGACCCACACACCAAAACTAATCATTAGACTTAGATCTAGAAGCATTACTCACATAATATTTAAAAGTATGCATAAAATTTTTCTTTTTTATGTTTCTTGCCTTTCTTGCCCAAAACCAAAATAACTATAGGAAAATCATGTATTATCGGTATATTTTCTAGTGAAAATTTGTTAAGTTTACAACAAAATATTTTACGAGGTAAAACTAGCATCGCAAGCCTTTTCCGGTAAAAAAAAAACTCTGCCAGAAATATTTCCCGACTGATATTGTCCGCTAGAAAAGTTTTCCAGCGGATTTTTTTTTCGTCAGAATAAGCCCATCGAAGTTAATAGCCAATGCCCATCCGCTCCGCTTTGCCCGCACCAGTCCCGCGCTGCCCGAATGTCTGCCAGAGCGCCAGCCCACCTACGCTGCCTGAAAGCCTGCCAGCCCCACGCTGCCCATGGCGCCTCAGTGATTCAAACCCAGGTCCTTTAAATTTCAAGACCTCAACCAATTTGCTATGGAACATAATGTTATAACTAGGGGTGTCAATATTTGATTCGACCTAAAAACCCGACCTGAACCCGACCCGAAAATTTTGGGTTTGGGTTAGGGATTTAGACTCTTTTGTAAAATCAGGTCGGGTTCGGGTTGACCCGGAAACCCGAAATCAACTCGGTTTGACTCATTTTTAATTAAATTAGGAGGGTTTTAATGGATTTTTATGAAATAAGTAAATGATATTTCAAAAAATTATAAATATTATTGCCCAAATTAAATTAATCTTGATTTATTTTAAATTAATTGAAGTAAATCTTACCTTAATTTGATTTAGATTTAAATAAATTGAATTAAATAAAAAATTAATAAAATACACCAGAATCGGGTCGGGTTCGGGTTCGGAAAACCGACCCGTTTGCAAAAATGGGTCGGGTTCGAGTCGGCTTGAACAGTGTCGGGTCAATTTTGGGTTGAACCCGAACCCGACTTGTGACTCGATTTTGACAGCCCTAGTTATAACAAGCAAACTATTTAATATTTAAATAAACTAATACATAAATAAATTAAAATAAATTCTTAAAATGAATGAATTATTAATTAATAAGTTATTAATTAATTATTAATTATTAAATGAGCTATTAAATTAAAAATAAGTTAATTATTATTTTAACAAGTTATTTTAACTATTTAAGTTAATAATTAATTTAAGTTATTATTTAAGTTAATTATTAATTTAATAACTTATTTAAAATAAAATAAATTAAATATTTAATTAATAATTAAAATAATTTATTTGATTAACAATTAATTAAAATAAGGTATTAAATTAATAATCAATTAAAATAAGTTGTAAAATTATGAATATATTATTTTATTCATAAATTACTAAATTCGTAAAAAAATCCATCAGAAAAATCATCAAAAACAAATAATCTGTCGGAACTCCGTGGGAAAGTCCTCTTGAAAATTTGTCGGAAAACTTTCATCGTAGTCCGTCGAAAATCTGCCAGAAAACCTCTGGAAAATAGTCTGTCAGAAATCCGCCGGTAATGGACAAAATTTCTAGCAATGAATAAAGTCATCCTTATCTACTTGCACAACATTTAAATTTAAATCCTACTGCAACACATTACACCCACCATCATTAAGTTCCCCAACAATACTAGTATCACTCGATAAATCACAAACTCAATCAGAATGGCCCACAGGTTCATTACAAAGAACATATTGAAACACCCCACCAGTTAAGTTTTTTAGATCTTCAATAGAATAAGAGTGACCAGAAGATTATTAACATGAATCTTATTAGAAACATCATATATAGCAATAAGAAGATCGGAAGAACTCACAATATGAAATTTAGAAGTCACATTCAACAAACTAAATCCAACAAGAGGGTCAAACACATCTTTAATAGGTGAAGGCATGCCAATACCATCAGAGAAAAGAACATGATTAGCAGATATAACTATATCATTTTCTTTTGGATTCACTGCTTCAGAAGAAATAGGAACAGAGGAATTGAGCACATGAGGAGCTATATGAATATTTTCATTGATACCATTAGGATTATTTAAGGGAAAGAAATGCTGATCCTTAACTAAATTCAAATTTTCAACTGGCTTGTTCTGGTCATTGAAAGGCAAGTCAATGGAAAAGCCACAAGGGGAGCAGGCACATTAACGTTATGTAACCAAATTTCTTTGGGCCTAATCAAACTGAATCAGGATACGTTTTGGTTATGTCAAGTTCAACCAAAATACGGGCCACCAACGGCCGACAGCCGATGGCGGTGGCATTGTCCATTTAATTTTGTCGCCCAAACAATGAACCTAATCCGTATAAAATGCGAGGGGAAAAGAAATATGGGCAAAGATCCGAAAAGGAGATCCAAATAGGAACAATCGGAGACTCCGATATATCAAAAAATGGAAACCACTTTATCAACTTCATAAAGTAATTTCAGCATATAATTTGATCTATGCGCAAAGACCAAGGAGTATATATATATTAGTTGATGGTAGTGATAATGATAAATACTAGGCCATTGCTCCTTCCTTTGACTTGGCTTCTCAAGAGAGGGATGCATGCCCATGTCGCTTAATTCTAATCTTAAATAAGGGATATGAAAAGAAACTCTCATAATAGTTTTGCCTCACAAAATATTCTTCTTTTTGCATGCATCACAAAATCTTAATCTAGATGACCTATTAAAGTCATGATATTCAGAAGGTATAGAAGTTGAGTATGTTATATGCTTAAAAGGAGATTGGGCTTCATATGAATATAGTCTAAGGATTCTTGTTACATTTATTCCGAGAGTAAATTTCATAAATTTTGATACCTTTTGACATGATTCTCGAGGAATTGGAAGGGAAAGTTTCTCTTAATTAAGTTCCAATTAGCCTTCATTAATCAAATTAGTTGATTAAATAGTGTTTCATTGTTTATTTGAACTTGTGAATGTTAATTCTTTTTTAGTTCCATGATAGCATTCCGGCCCCTTCGATTTAGGCTTCATTTGGGATGACTTTCTCGTTGCTTCTTAAAGCAATTTTTTAGTACAAAATTAAAATTATTGTACTAAAAACTATTTTAAGAAACAGTAAGGAAGCTCTCCCAAATGAAGCCTTAAGCATAAAAAACATTGCTTTTACTCATACGTTGGAATGATATATTTCTGTAAAGTTACTAGAAAAATAATAGAGGAAATTGTTTTGAATATACATAGACCTAAGAAAACAAATATATGTATATATATATATATAAACTAAAGGTTTTTTTTTCTTTTTTTTTCTATTATAATATGTATACAATTGATATAAACTAAAGGTTGCATTAACTGAAAGCTCAAATAACTAGCCCCTTGAAGATCTGCTGATAACTCTTTTTTTCTATATAGCATGGATAAAATTCTTGAACGGTACGAGAGTTATACTTATGCAGAAAGAGCAATATTCTCTAGCGAGGCTGACCCCCAGGTATGACAGTTTTTTATTTTTCTCACATAAAAATGTTGAGACCTTATAAGGCGACATTGCTTCTCCATGGAACTTGCATTTTTATAAGCACTACTTCGCTAAATATAATGTTGGAATTATATTTTATCACCTAAACTTAAACTTAGACTTTGTTTAGAATGGCTTTTTATCGCTTCTTAAAACAAGTTTTTAGTAGAAAAAATTAAAAATTTTGTACTAAAAAGCTACTTTAAGAAGTAGTAAGAAAGCCGTCCCAAACAAAGTCTTAGCAGCTTGCTAGTTGTAATAAGATCGATCTAGAAACTGATTGTTCACGTCCGAGGAAAGGAAATTATACAGATGGAGAAAAAAGATAATTTTATATGACACCGCACAAGTGAATAATGGAATAATTTGTATCATAAAGTGAGTAAGAACAATAATTATTGGCATAATAGGAAAAATAAACTCAATTTTACATGCTAATCAAGCATTCAAATTAGTATATGACAAAGTCACAAAAAATAATTATCCATAATATAAATATGGTGAATTAAATTAATCTAATCAGTGTGAGATTAATAATTTTTAAGTGATGATTGATATAAATGATTCTACTCAATGAAAGAGCATAAAAGCATGTATAACATTCACTTATAATTTCTCAATTAAGCACAAATATTTATTTAAGAAAAAGTACAAGAACAAAAATTAAGATATATAGCAATTGGACACAAATGATTTTTGACCGGTTAAGCACCCTATTAGCCTACAACCATGCCTAAACATCCCCTGTATTTTGGATTCTACCAACAATAACTACTACACACCAAACTCCACTCCTTTAGTATGGAGACAAGCCATCATAACATAGAATAACCTATAAGCACAATGTAAACCTCAATCGCTAGGTAACATAACTCTCTAGTAAAAGAGATGTATTCCTTCAAAGTGCTTCAGGATTTTGTTGATGACTAAGGTTTCGTTTGGGACGGCTTTATTTTTGCTTCTTAAAGCAGCTTTTTAGTACAAAAGTTAAAACTTTTGTACTATTTAACTTTTGTACTAAAAAGCTGCTTTAAGAAGCAGTAAGAAAGCCGTCCGTTTGGAACAATTTTTGTATTGCTTTAGAAAGCAGTAAGAAACTTGGCTCACATGAAGCCTAAGGCTATTGTCAATACAACTAAACACTATAAAATCGCTTACAAAATTTGATTCTTAAATGCATAATAAAATTGTAATAAAAATATAAAATAGTAAGAGATTGAGTGAGAACTTTACTGAAGAAGTGATAAGACTTGGATAATAAATAGTTGATACCATCTCCCAATTGATTGTCTAATTTAACTTATAGTTTCATATTTTCATTCTTCTTACTTAGAATGAAAAATGATGGGTATTTATATAAAAAATAGGAAGGCTAAACAAGCCTCCAATAGCTCTTTAAAAATTCTAAAATTTCATTCTAAGCATACTTATCATTATACAAGAATTTGGATGATTGTATGTAGGATCCTCAATCATATGTATGATCTAGTTAAACTTGAATGAATTCTTTTCTAATTGTATGAAGAATGGCCTTTAAGAAAAATATGAAAAAAAAAAAAAAAAGCTTCTAGAAATCTAAATGGATATATGATCAAATGAATGATCAACACCACCAAAAATTTATAAAATCTATATGCAAAGAATAGATAATATAAAAGCTATAAGCAATAAAACTTAAATTTTATAATCATTTGTACAATTGGTTGATCATATGTTTGACCCTTGGTCATATGTATGATTAGATAATAAATCATGATTTCATTTTTTTTAAAGTATATTTCTTTTCAAATTTTAGTATTCATATATAATTTTTTATATAATTTTAACTAAAAAGCTTGTTTGCAAGTTTAGATCAATTTGTTCATCACCCATTGAAATTCCAACTAAAACTAACTCAAGTAATTTCTAACAAATGACCTAAACACATACATTAGATTAAAGAAGCCTTGAATAGGTCTTTTCGCCTTTTTTTTTTTTTTTGGTGAAAAGGTCTTTTCGCTTTTTTTTTTTTTTTTTGGTAAAAACCCATAATAGAGGCAACGTGTTAATAATCAAAATATATTACAAAACCTTAAAGTCATAATAAAAAAACCTTTTAAAATCATTATAAAGAAAAAAAATATTGTCAAAAAGTATGGATTATATGATATTTATAAAATGAATTATAATCTTGCTTTAAATAACAAAAATATTTTGATTTATAAACATTAATATATTAAAAGAATTTGTAGGTTAGCTTAAAAATGTATGAAACTAAAATAATATAAGGAAAAATGATAAAGTAATGGAGAGATTTGAATTTTACTAAATTTTTTACCTTATGCTAGGCCTTTAAAATTTTGGATATGTATGTACACATGGTGGCAACTTCTTTTGAAATTATGTGTACTCTAAATCCTTAATGGCATATCTTCATTGTTCCTTCATGAAGACATACTTATAATTCACTTGCACTTTAAATTGGATTTTCCTATTTATAAAATCATTAATACTACCATGTTGAGAATGAATATTATGAGTGTAATTTGAAAATGATGAGTATGATCATAAATCATTGTAAACTAGTATGTTCTCTCATCTTCTAAATTCTTGATTTGGTATTGACATTATCATGATCATAAATGTTAGAAGTCCGAGAAGATGTGATAAGAAAATTATTAGTTTTATTTTACAAGTGATTTACTTCATTTTCTACATAGATAATTCTATCAAGCTTTTTTTTCTAGGATAAAATTCACAGAGGGGCCTATATGTTATCCTTAGAAGATCAAATGGTCTCTTAAATAGAAAAGAAATACATCCAAAAAGCAAAAGAAAACCTAATGAGCCAATGATCCTATATAGTTACATCAAGCAACAAGAAAAAAACCTAAAATATATCAGCAAATAGGCCCACAGAAAAAGCAATCCAACAACAATAATTTATTCTTTTTTAAAAAAAAATATGATTATGTATTCACCTTTGTATTAATATAACAAAAAAATACATAAAATGAATGAGAAAATATTTTTATAATATAGCATTTAATCCTTCAACTAATAATAAAAATCATAATATTTAGTGTAAATTCAAATATAAATTTGTACCAAAAAGGAGTTCGAAAAAAAAAGGGTTGATGCGTCTAGTTTTAAAAAAAGAAAAATTTTGACCAGCATATTATGATTAAATGTTGACCAAAATAAAATTTAAAGCCATCAAATATATTTTAAAATGAATGTAATATAAACTCTTTATATATTATATTGATCACAAAATAAATTCAAATATTTTTAGATCTATCCTGCTAACAAATTGGTCAATATTTTCTAAGAAAACTTTTTTTCATTGCAAAATATCATTGCAGTTCCAGTTCTGTAGAAATTGAATGCAATGCAAGGCAAATTTAAAGGGCAATCTGTACCATATTTTGTAGAAATGAACAAAAGGGAAATCTTGTCAGTCTTTCTCCTCTATTTTTGTGCTGCATGACTGAGAAAATTAAATATATGTAGACAGTACAAAGGAGAGGAAAATGATTATAATCTGCAACAACTAAAACTTGCTTGCTCACCTATTTGGCACTTGTAGTTTCATGCCTTCTGATTATGCACACAAATAAGTAGCTCCTCCATATTACAAGATAAATTGGCTAATTCTAGCATTTCACTTGGTACTTGAATGCATTCAATGCAGGCGGATTGGGGCCTTGCATATAGTAAACTGAAAACCAGAGTTGAGAGCTTGCAGAGGAGTCAGAGGTGAGTTCTTCTGTTCAGTACATTCATGTATATGTTATTATGTCATAATGAGAGACAATTTTCTCCAAAAAAATCAAAATAGTAGGAACATCTATCTCAAAAATGGAATTTTCAAATTTATGGATCCTTATTTCTTTAGTCACCAGAAGAATATGGTCAAATACCAGCATTAATGCCAATAACGCTTTCAAAACACTTGTATTAGTCACACATCACAATAACATTATTGCAAGTACACTATCATAATAATGAAAGAACATAACATGCATTCTTAGAATCACTAACATTAATTACTAAACACGTTAAATAAGAAATGTGTTTATACATAAACAGTTACAAATAGTCATAAATAGAAAGAGTGAATCAAAACTTCAAATGAAAATATATAGCAGGTTTATTATTCAATCTCCCTCGGTCCCTCCCATTTTTAGGGTCGGGTCCAATCTAAAACTAACCCGCCTTCAATTACAAATGGGGCAGAAATCCAAATCTGGAGCAGGCCCACCTCTAACCTGAGTTGACCCAACCCGACCCACTAACCCGCAATGCAACCAGGCACGACCGGGTGAGGGCACGAGCGCCTGTGGGCGAAGGTGCGAGAGCGGGGCCAGTAGGCGAGGCGACAAGCGTGTGCGGGCTATCGCGGGCGCGGATGTGGGCGTTGGCGCGGGTGGGGGCACCGATGTGAGTGAGGGGGATGGCTGCAGGCGCGAGTGTTGGATAGCTACAGGCGAGGGGTGACCCAAGTCACTTTTGGGTTGATTTCAGATTTTCAGTTTGACTCAAACCCGACTCAAAATTAAAAACGGGTTAGAAAATAAAACCAAACCGACCTGTTTGCAAAACAAGTTGACCTGAACCCAAAAATTTTTAGGTCATGTTCATATTGGGTTAAATATTGACACCCCTACTCACTACTCTCATCTCGAACATAAAGATAGTACATCTCCACTAACATACATTGATATTTAGCCCCCATTGCTGTCTTATGAGCTTGCATTGAGATCTCGAGATCTGCATAAAAGGCAACTATTTTACTCTATATAATCATTAGTATATGACCATCCATATGTGATTACATTTAGCTAGAACTATAAATTGACGGTGTATTTAATACACCATCATTGAGCCAACACCATACATATGTCTTGTTTTGCTCCCCCCAGCAACTCACATTCATAGCTCGATGTATGATTTACGCAGAGCTCGTGATGGAAAAAAAAAATAGCTCGATGTATGATGGCTGTGAAGAACTTTCTACTACAGAGCCCTAACTCGATTTAACTTCTCTCAATCGTCTGTAATTGTTCTGTAAATTATTTAATTGTGATTATTTTCAAAAAATTATATATTTAGTGCAACAACAGAAAAAAAAAAAAAATTAACCTTTTAAGCTTACATGTTATCTGGCAGATCTTAATTCCACCCACAATGCATCACTCATCTTTGATCCGTAAAAGTATGCCGTTAACTCAAATAATGTTGGCTCCCTACACATCATCTCTTCCAGAAATAGTTCATAAGTATATTTTGGGAATGTGATAGGAAGTATATGCGATTTCAATCAAATCAGCGAACAACAATAAGAAATTGGGAAGAAGAACACGCCACATATCTCATTGCAAGATATATGAAAAAAATAGCAAGATACAATTGGATCTTCAATTGGAGAGTAAGATTCAGTTCTCCCAAATCTATAGCTGTCGGCTAGAACCCTCACAACCTAAAAAATCCTAATTTCAGCAAACACAAGCATACATAAGATAATAACCCTAGACAAAACTCCTTAAATAGCCCTTACACACAATAAACACAATTAAAACCTTTCCTAAAATATCATTTTTCTCTAAATAAATCTTTCATAATTCTCTCTCAAATTTAAATTCAAATCAGCTATCTTTCCCTAAATAAATCTTTCTTAATTCATTCCCAAATTAGTCTCCTTTCCTTAAACTCAAATTGGATCTCTTTTCCTAAATAATTCCTTCCCAATTTTAATTCAAACTTTCCTAAACAACTCCCCATTGAGAACTCCTTACATAATGAATAATAGTTGTCCTGGGCCCCACAAGGTGGCCTTTTCCCCCATGGCATATCAATACTCCCCTCCCCCCGCACATTGTCCTCAAGGTGGAAGGATGGGATGCTGGTCATGGCTTTCTTCTGCTGCTTATATTGTCGCTTTCCCCCAATTGAAATTGTCCTTCTTAAGCTGCTTAATTATTGGCCATGATATCATCCACTAGAACCAAGCTAGGGCTTTCCCTTCAATACATTGCCATGTGGCCGTAAGCTTCTCCTTCTCATTCAACACATTCATCGTCTCCACCCAGTACACCCACTCATAGGCATCATCCCCTTCAAATATTAGCATCCTAACTTCCTTACCCTAGCATCTCCACTCCAACTTCCTCTCCCTCCAATGATTCCCCCTGTGTATCGAGAGTGAGAATCCCACCTTTCTTCCACCCTACTTGCATGATTTGATCCCTATGGCTCAGCTCGACCCCCTCCATATCCAGTCATCCGATCCTCTTGCCCGAAATGCCTCTCATAGTGGACGACCACTCCACCACCTCTATCACAAAATTCCCTCATTATTGTCCCCACATCCAAAAAACCTGATCCACCCCTTATCAGAGCCCTAGGAGGTGACTCTTGATGAAAGAAACTCACATTGTCGAATTCCTTCCGTTCATCTTATTTCTCTTAGAATTGGCCAAGGAAATCCTGGTCAAATCTTGGTTAGGTCTAGAAATCGGAACCTTCAATGGAGTTTTAGGCTTTGTTTGGGACGGCTTTTTTATTGCTTCTGAAAACGGAGTTTTAGTACAAAAATTAAAAAATTTGTACTACAACTCCATTTTAAAAAGCAATAAAAAAGCTGTCCCAAACGAAGCCTTAGATTGCATCTCCAAAGCTTCCTCAACATCTCCACCAAGATGGCAAACTTCCCATCGAACTTCTCATGGATGGCTGAAATTTGAGTTTTAAATTTTTTTTTTAATCAGATTTCAATTGTCCGATCTTCCCTTCCAACACATCTACCATTCTTCCTGCCATAAGTACCCGGATCTAGGCTCTGATACCAATTTGATAGAAATTAGATGCAATTTCAACCAAATCAGCGAACAACAAAAAAAAAATTGGGAAAAAGAAACACCACAAATCTTTTTATTGCAAGATATATGAAAGAAAATAGCAAGATATAGTTATATCTTCAATTGGAGAGAAAGATCCAGCTCTCCCAAATCCCTAGTTGCCGGCTAGAGCCCTCACAACTTAAAAAATCCTAATTTCAGCAAACACAAGCATACATAAGATTATAACCCTTTTACCTAAAACTCTGTTAGGCCGGCACTTGAGCTTGCTGGACCGGTCCAAACCAGACCGGTCCACACCTACTCGAGGCAGAAACCCACAGAGCGGGCGGAACAGCGGGCGGAACCGAGCTCATCCGACGGGGGCCAAGGAGGAGTTTTGGGAGGGAAATTTTGAATGCGAGGGGCTGTTTAGACATTTTGTAAAACTCCTTTATGGTTAATTAGGAGGTGAGGAGGAAAAGGGGGGATTATCTTGGATTTGAAATTGGTTGGGAGATCTAGGGTTTGTGTTCTTGGGCTCTAGGCTACGGCTAGAGATTTGGAGAGTTATTCCGTCCTCTCGAATCGAAGGAAACTTGTATCTTTCTTGTCTTTTGCATCGACTAGTGAAATTCAATCGTTTGCTATTGTTTTTCCTATTTTCCCTACGAGTTCTCTCAGATTTTTCCACTCTTTTCGTGTTTGGTGGCTGTTTTCTCATAGAAAACAGCGGATTTGTGGCGATTTGGCTTAGATCCGATAGGAATCACTTGAAATACTCAAGTAGTACCTATCAAACTCCTTCTCAAATAGCCCTAACACATAATAAACACAATTAAAACCTTTACTATATCATCCCTCTTTCCCTAAATAGATATTTCCTAATTCTCTCCCAAATTTAAATTCAAAACAACAATTTTCCTGAATAAATCTTTCATAATTCCTTCCCAAATCAGCCTCCTTTCCTTAAATAATTTTTCTCTTAAATTTGAAGTTAAATTGGACCTGTTTTCCTAAATAATTCCCTCCCAATGTTAATTCCCTCGTCCTTACGTAATGAAAAATAGCTCCATCCGTAAGGAAAAAATAGCTCCCCTGGGCCCCACAAGGTGGCCCCTTCCCCGGTATCAGAATGCTCATACAAAAAGAGCAAATTATATATATATATATATATATATAATTACAAAATATCATTAACTATCATCCTTTTCTATGCTATGTAGAAGGAAGGGAGGTGCCAATATGATAGGAATGACCCATCCCAACACAATTGGAGGCTTCATTTTTTTTTATAATTCTGATCTTGCTTTCCGGTATAATCTACTGACTATCAAGTAGTACACAGATCTGACCAAATCCCCACTCCAATTAAGCCCTTCCTTATTATGACGTGTATTGTTTATTTCCCTTAATGCTCAACATGCTCATTGTGAGAGATAATTTGAATCGATCATTATAACCTAGTCATGCATCTAACAAATCATAAAATTATTGAGCTTCATTGTTTGGAATTTCTTAAAAATCATTATTAGGAGGCTCTTTAGCAGTGTCTCAACTATATTCTCAACAGTTTGTGTGCAAATAACATTTAATATCATCTTTTCAAACATATTTACTTCGATCATTCAGTAAATATGCATGACTGGTAGATGCTTTTATTTGCGATTGAATAACATAATATTCTGGACCCTACTCGTCTTGAGATGTTGGTTATCCAGATAAAAATCTCTCCTATATATAATAACCTAAACTTCATCAATTGTCAAAATTATTTTCTATTTTTATGTTTGAAACATAGACATCTAATTTTACACACTTGCTAAAAAAATATCGTTGATGACATGCAGTGCTAATAAATATTTCAACACTATAAAAAATTCATACGTTAATAACGTTCTTATCATAAATCCAACTACGGTATGCTCTGACATTCATTATATTTTTGTAAATAGCATAATGTTAAAATTAAATTAAATTAACATAAACTTCGATAACACTTGCATGGAGATGAAAAGCTATTAACTATTACATTGAACCTAGATAAAAATTGTAAAAATCTACGAAGCACAAGCACAGACACACTAACGCAAAAACAACACAATGTGACCACGGCGCACAACATAATTATAAAAAATAGGACACAATGCATCATGGACACAATATTTTATTTTATAAATTATTAATATAAATATATAATTTGTAGTATTTTCTAATAAATGCATCATCGGTGAATTATAATACCATATACATATACTTCACAGAAAAAGCTTAAAAGCTTAAGCATAACAAAAGGACAAAAAACATTCTTAATAATAAAAGAAATGATACTCACATGAGATAGTTTTCATTTACTAAAAACACTCTAACATTAGCATTCATTAATTTTTGTTTGTTGTCACATATTTTGCACATGTACTGAAATCTTCCCCAAGCATGTTCTTGGGGCGTGTCAAACCAATATCAGACCGTGTTAAGCCATGTCAAACTTGTTTTGAAACTTAATTTCAACTTGAAATGCTTCGACATGATTAGGCGTGTTGAACATGTGTTGGGGTGTATTAAAGATGTATCGGTATGTTATATATGCTTGATATGGACATAAAAGGTGTTTGAAAATGTTTGCGCTTCATAGGCAATAATAGTTTCAAATATTACAAATCACTCAAGCTATAATACTTTCATTAAATCTGAATCAAAATGCCAAAAAAAAAATGCACTCAAAGTAATAGATATAGCCTTTCATAGGATAATTTATTAATTCGAGTTTCTAACATTTTAATTTAATAATATGATGTGGTCGTTGTTCTGTAAAAGGTTAGAAAAAATTGTCATGGGAAAACCTATGGTGAAAAGTTATTATTGCTCCATTTGTTAAATTGGTTAGATCTATGGTGATAGAGTCATATAGAAGTCAGTTGATTTCAACTATTTAGTTTAAATATTTTCATACATACATGTTATAAATTACAAAATGACTAGTGGCGCACAAAAAAATTCCAATTATATATGCAAACTGATATTATCGTAAAAAATAGCACAAACAATTCATTTGTACCAAAACTAAAGATGTAGCAAAAAACTGAAGTTATCAAGATCAATTAGACTAATTTACAAAACTATCAAATTTGTCCTCTTTCCATGCAGAACATATACAATGATAATTAAATATTGCAATATCTACAATCATTAGTGTATATCCAAATATCTCAAGAACCTTGTACAACTATAAAATTGAGCCAACTCAAGGCAAGTCGGTAAGATGGGAAAGGCAAAATGGTAAACTCAAGATATTAGAGTAGGGGTGTCAATTCGGTCAACGGGTCGGATTCGGGTCCAACCCGAGTTGACCCGTGTGTAAACGGGTTGATCCGAACCCGACCCGTTTAGCTAACCCGGACCCGACCTGGTCGAGTTACCGGGTTGACCCGACCCAACCCGCGAAATCAAACATGTTCGGCATTCCTAACCTATTTGCTACATGCGAGGCCAGCGGCTGAGTGCGGCAGACGAGGCGTCGAGCCAGCCCGGTGAGGCAAGCGCATCTTAGAGAACTTGTTGAACTTACAAGCAAAGTCAAAGAAGCTAACAAGACCTAAATAGGCCTGCTTGCTTAGTTTCAAAGCCAACTCACCCTAATTCATTTATCACTTGCTCAAGACCAAGAGCTACTCACCCAAATCCAACCAATGCCAGGGAGTTCATAAAAAAAAATGGAGACTTCATCCAAGAAACCAACAACTTCATTTGCCCAGCCGCCATCTTCTTTCAATGATCCGCCAAGCTGGCAACCTCAATCAAGGAGATTGTAAGATGGTTGTCCACATATACATACGAATGCTATGACTCTATATATATTTTCACGTGTATGTAAAAGGTCTTATGATCTTATCATGTATATTTTATTCAATTTTTTAGGTTAAAGTATAGTTTTTCCTATAGCCCCAAAAAAATTCTATAAATAAAGAGTTAAAGTGCAATATTCACACATAAGATCATTTGGGAGCATTTTCAACTAACAGTAGTCTCAAAGCTTCTGTCTCTAAAAACATCTTTTTTCATCTTCTTCTTCATCTTGTTCTTCGATCTTCTCTTTATTTTCTTCTCTTTATTTTCTGTTGTATGGAACTCTGCATGTCTTATTAGTAGGGTTCTAACATCCTCAATAGACAAAGTTGGATCTAATATCCTAAAGGATCTAGTGCGCATAACTTCATGCCAAAAATCAGATCTAATATCTGTAAAGGGTTATAGAATTTTTATATCATGTACTGAGGATCTTACAATTCATAGAACAAGGAATACTTTCACTGACTTCCTCTGCTATTCTCATAGTCACATATTAGAGACCCGAAGAAATACTCAACTGTTCACAAGGACCACGACCTTTATACAGAGGACTACGTACATCTCCAAGGATAGGTTTAAGAGTTTATCAAAGCAGAGAAACTAAAGGAGTTAGTGTTCACCAAAAATAAAAGGTCAGTAGAGAACAAAAGAGATGATTAGGCAAAGTCGCCCAAGCACTAGTCATCCAAATAACAGGAAGCATATTATAAGTAGAGAGCATTGTTAGGGGAAGTAGTTTTTTAAAACTTATTTTACATCACCTGTAATAGCAAATAATAAGACATTCTCTTGTTTAAAGTATTTTGCAGTGCAAACATTTTATTGTGGGTATTTATTTTTTATTAAGACTCAATTTCTATAAAAAAAAGAACGCAATTTTATTTTCCTTGATAGTACTCAGAAAGCTCGTCAATTACTAATTGTATGATTATCCATGATATTAGAATTTTTTTAAGATCAAAAAATTGGGACATGGCATTTGGGATCCATTGCATACACCTTATTTTACAGGAAGCTCAATATCTACTCAAAATATAAGCACACATTGAGGATCTTATAATCCCAATATTTTCTCAAAATATCATGTACTGAGAATCTTATAATTCAGAGTCATCAATCATCATATCGAAATAAGAATCTGTTGCAAAATCACCCAATGGAATTCTTATTGTTTATTCGCACAACATTGTTGCTTTAGGTGTGGCAATTTGATGGTTCATCTGATTATTCTTAGGTCCCAGCACTCAAAAATTTCTTTTTTTAGCAAAGTGTTGTGTTGAAATCATTGGTGTCAAAAGATTTGAAAAATAATCAAACCTCAGAATTTGACTCCTCAATTATGATAGGACCTGCATTGAGTACTGTGGAAGTCAATTCTAGCAGGCTACTCCAGATGGTTACCCCTACAAAGAAGTCTAAGAAATGGTGAGGCCCATCCAAGGCAATGATGAATTCATTTATAGAATACTTCAAAGAGATAAGCAAAACTACTCGAATGCAAAGGATATTATATACTCACTTTGTAAATTTCGCATGGTTAATCTACCCTTCCAATAATAATAGATGTTTTGCATGCACAAGTTATCTTGAATCATTCTAAGAGACTTGTTCAATAACAAAAGGTATATCTCACAAGATATACATGTCTAAGGCACTCTCTTTAAATGTGTGATTTGCATAAGCATGTTGCATGCGCCATTAAGGTTCTCTCTTCTCGCTTCTACCATCATGGATTGTGTCTCCTAGGAGACTCAACTACCCTAACTTAAAACTTCATCTATCCTTCGAACATCTCATTCTGAAGGAAAGGACACTCCAAGAGATGCAAAAGGACTTGCCTACAAAAAAAAAGAATACATACTTCTATATGTAGATATATATATGCAATTCATACAAAATAAGTATAACAAAATGAACATCAAGATATATTTTTACATCATCAGGATATTCACCTTCCATTCCTTCATACAAGGTATGGTGATTCACCCAATGTATCTTCTTGTACTCAATAAGGCTTGCCTCCTTCGCCCGTGACTTTGCTAAAATATTTTGCTTGGGATTATGAGAAGAAAGCAAGTTGGAAAGTTCTTTTCGCAACATCTCTAATTTGACAAGCAATTTCTTTAAAGTTCTTCATTCATAAATCTAACGACTCGCACTTGCAATGTTTGTTTGAGCATCATCACCCTTCGTCAATCTTCGCCTCTAAGTTAACATCAGCTCTCTAGGTGTACTCAGCAAAGGCCCGCTATGTTGATTTGAGTTTGTTAAAATAATATTTATTTACCTTGGACAAGTGGTCCAACTTGTTTTTCAACCTATCAAATTTCTTGCAACCTTGACTAAAACTAGGTGTGATTCTCACCATTTTTACACCCTCATCACATATGATTTGTTGCCTCTTCTTAAATAAGAATTTGTATATAAGTTTAAAGCGTGATGTGCAAACTCCTATCCAATGCCTAAGGATTGGCCAATTTCATATAAAGTCGAAACTTCTCCTAGAAATTCAGCAACTAGGGAACAATGATGAAATAATTGGATAAGAATGAAAAGTTAATAAATAACTCACAATAATGAAAGAATTCAAAACACAAACACTAGAGATCGAACAACCTCCCCGATAAGCAACTTTAATAAATATTAGCACAGCCCAATCCTCTTGCCACAAATACATAATGAAACTAAATTATTCACAAAAAATGCGCTAAGCCAAGACCTCTGCAACTGGGACCTTGCACATGTAGTGCTAGAGGGACACTTTTGGCCAACTTCACAAAGAGAAATTTTCACTTCCAACCATTTGCTTTCTTTGGTCCTCTAATTTTATTTTTTATTTTTTATTTTTTGATGAAAAAGCAACACAACCATCTTTGACCACTATTGCCTTGAACAATTGACTAAAAAGATTTACAATCCACTTGACCTATCATTCTCGCAGAAGGCATAGGAAAGTGGTCATGACAGTGAAAAAACTCAGGACAACTAGGTTGGTACTAACCCTTAGCGATGAAGGACAATCGACAAATTGAGAGAGAGGAAGATGCAACCCTAAGCAAAATTCCTCATGATAAAAAGTAATCCCCACCATCCTTTACTGTGTTTAGGAACTCATCCTCCATCAGAACTCAAATCACGAAGCTTCCACCATCACATAATCTTTTGCAATATCCTAATACTATGTTCTATGATCGACAAAGGAAAATTGAAGGTTGCTTTCACGAAATCCTCAACATAACCCACAAAGAACATTGCCATTGCATCCACTTGAATGAAAATATATAAAAAAGGAAGAAGTGGGAGAAAACGTTGGTGAGGAAGACGAAGAGGAAGAAGAAAGACACTCGCACCCATAATTTATATTTCAACTTGCAAGAGATGAAGTATTGCGCATAAAAAAGTCAAATCTGCGAAGATATTACGTAAGTTTCTACAAATTGAAATGACACTATTAGTCAAAACATAATATGAAATAATAAATATTTTACCAATTTTAAATTTCTAATAATTGTGAGTTTACTATTTTTGTAGGGAAAATGGAGCCAAAATAGCAAAAGTCTGCAATATAAACATTAATTCAATGACAAGTGGATGAGGTTATCAAAATTAAAAGATTCACATCCAACGATGATGCAAACTTGTCGTCGCCAACAAAGTTGGCAAGCCTCAAGAGAATGTGTACCATCCTTCATAGTATGATCTCATATTTTCAAGTCATTGTAGAGAACCCTCTCAAAGGTAACACAAGGCCCAAGCTTAACAATCTTTTTTAAGTACTTGGAAGCCTTTCTCTTTAGAAAATATAATTCTTCCTAAAAGGGGATATCAGGTTAAATCATTGTTTTTGCTTATTCTCTTCTTCTTTTGCAATATATTTTTAAAGATACAAGAAAATCAGGAAACTAAATGTATCGTTAATGAGAATCAGAAAACTAAATTTATATCCAAATATCACAACGAATCAGTGCAACTAAAATCGAGTCAACTTATAGAAAGTTGGTCGGATAGGAGAGGTAAAAATGGTAAACTAGCCAAAATCTTGGAGAGCCTACAAGTCAAAGAAGCTTACAAGACCTCAACAGGCCTACTCCCCTAACCTCAATAGGTCTACTCACTCAGTCTCAAAGCCAACTTTCTCTAATTAAGTAATCACTAACTCAAGACAAAGAGCTACTCACCCACATTTAGCCAAGGTCAACAACTTCATACAAGAAACCAGCAACCTCATCTATCAAGTTGGCAACTTCTTCTAATGATTCGCTAAGCCAGTGACAACGACCTCAATCGAGAAGATACTAAGATGGTTGTCCACCTGTACTTATGAATATTCTGACTCTATTTTCATGTACATGTAAAATGTCTTATAATATTTTTTTATTCACTCTTTATGAGGTCAAAGTGTACTTTTTTCGTAGCCCAAAAAATCCAATAAATAAAGTATCAAAGGAAAACTTTCGCACATGAGATCATTTTGAGGCATTTTCAGCTAATAGTAGAATCCTAAAGCTTCTCTCTCTAAAAATGTCATCTTTCATTCTTTTTCTTCGAACTTCTCTTTATTTTATAATCTTTGCAACTTGCAAATCTTGCTATTAAGATTCTAACATCGCCCACGGGCAAATTTGGATCAAACAACTAGATTGTTAAAAATTGGATCAAGTATTACACTGTAAATAAATGATCTAAGATCAAAATTTCTAATAAATTATAGAAAATCAACACTCAGAGACCAAAAGGTCTCTTATACTACATGGAAATCTACAGTTGGACAATGATGGTGGATCACAAGCACAATGAGTCAACAGTAGACGGAGCTAGGTTGCAAATGGGTTGCAATTTGATTCCTAGATATTCTATGAGAGGAAAGAGTGAGCTACATTTGTATGGGTGATAACAGATCACCAGCATAGTGGGTCGACATGCAATGGCAGTGCGTTAACTATGGGTTACAGTTTGATGGATGGCAAATGGTAAATGGGGACATAGGGATTAGGGATTCATAAGGGATAAAGAGCTAGAACGAGGAGGGAAAACAAAAGGAAGAATGTTCATCTGTAAGAGGTGAAAGAAAGAATGGAGGGCCTCACGTGTCCATTAGGTTAAGTAAATTATTTGGCAAACAATCAATAGATTTTTTACGTTATTAACATCTCTCAATATTTTACAAAATATCTAAAATAATTATATAGTTTTCTTTTAATCTCCCATACAACTACTACTTTGCTGTTACTACATATTTTAATGAGAAGTTCTGTGACTTAACATTTCTGTAAAAGTTTCAGAAACTTAATGGGGGAAGAGCTTGATACCTTGAACAACAAAGAGCTCCAACATCTAGAACAACAGCTTGAAAGTTCCTTGAAGAATATAAGGTCAAGAAAGGTAGAATCTCATATATACTAGATATTGACCTTTTTGAAGTATCTCATTTATTTCTATTATATGAATCTCAAAAAAGTTCTTAAAAGAGCACATTTTTATTTTATTCTACTATTAAAATTGGGCTTTCTATTGCAGACTGATCTAATGTTAAATTCAATCTCTGAGCTACAAAATAAGGTTATTTTCATCATACTTCTTGAACATTGCAAGTGATTATTCTTTAGCATTGTATGCATTCTACAACCTGAAACATTTTTTGGTTACATTTCAGCTTTTAATGCATAATATGCATGCCATTTTTAGTCCAAGAATGCTCTTTGTATGATAAGAAATTATTAAATTGATTTTAATATAATAATATTAGAATTACTAAAAGGGAGGGGAAATTAGTAAATCCTTTTTTTTATTTCTTATATTGATACTTATGAAAAAAGTGTGAGAGAGAAAGAGGGAGAAAGGAGTGAGAGAGGGGGAAAAGAAAAAGCATGCCAAACTTTGAATAGAAGCATTAGCCTCCCTATTTTTTTTTAAGCCAGAAAAATATTTTCATAACTAAGATGAAAATGCAATAGTGGGGAACTATAATCTCAAATGAAAAAAGAAAGGATCAAAGATCCTAAAGATCAACAAACTCAGCAGGTTGCAAGGGTGCATGAGGCACCAAAAGAAAGGCCTAGAGAGAAACTCTGATTGTTGTGAGGAAGGCATAATCAGAATAAGATTATTCAACAAAAGATGATCAGGCCCTGAAGATGGAGTAAAATGAGCAAGGTCTCCATGGTAGGAGGACGTTCCAAATGACACACTAGAAGAGCATCACACAAGCTAGGACGAAGCCGACACCAAGAGTGTATTTCACTTTGTAAAGAATAGGATTGCACTTATAGTATGTGGCACTTCATTTTAAGTTTCTTCCCTAAAACTCTCTTTTAGTCGTTAAGTTTCATGAATGGTCCAAAGGGTCCTATAAGATTGCATGGGGTATTTATATGGATTACAAAATTTAACTACAAAATGACTCTTGAGAAATGTGAGCTTTGGATACTTCTCCAGAACAATTGCTTCTCCTGCTCCAACTCCCTATTTGCACTAAAATTAATAGAATTCTAAAAGGCATACATGCCTACCAGAAATGCTAGAGGTGCCAAGTGGAGGTGGGCACATGGCACTAGTTAAATGAGTGGCTAATTAAGTAATTATCGTTGTAATTATTGAAAGAATGTCCTTTACAGTTCCTCATACAGGCGCCATAATAGGGTCACATTCTATTCAATGGTATATAGAATTTATACGTGGGTCACCACCACAATATATTTCATGCAGTAGAAAGTCTATTGACAACTGGACGAGCATAAATTTCCCCCAAAAAGTCCTCGATCTTTATTAGCCTTCTTAGATTAGTCTTTTTTTTTCTTTTTTTTTCTTACAATTAAAATATGATAATTAAACATGCTTCCAATAAACTCAATGATTCAACAAAAATAATGATACTATATAAAGATTTAAATAACTTCTAATTAGCTCTATGCAATATTTGACTTGCTTAAAATCAAATAGAAGTTCAAGACAACCAAAACAGGTAAAAAGATCACATTAATTTGCTTGCATTCGAAGATCTAAGAGCAAAGACAAAACCGTAGAATTAGACTATACCAATTTTGTTCACAATACATGAACATCATAATATGAGGGAAACTTGAGTTCTTATACCTCATGATGGTTCTTTTTAGAGAAAATCCTCCTCACCAATGTTTTTTTGGGCAAATATTGCTCTAAAAAATTTCTGGTCAAATTTCTCTTAAATACATGATAAAAAAATACTTCTTACACACAATCAACGTGGTCAAAATTAGGGTCAAAACAAATTTGAATCATGGTAAAACCAAATTTAAATAAGGTTCAAATAAAGTTTGAATCAGGTTTGACCCTTATTTAAACCTCATTTGAACTATATTAGAACATAGTTCTCAGAGATCTTATGCTCTCTTGTTGATTGTTCAAACTACACAAGGACCTAATCCTCACTCTCTAATCTACAACCCCCAACATCTCCCTCCCCTCTATGTGCTCTTCCTCCAACAATCATTTAACACCTGCCACCAGCAACCTCCATCACATCCTTGCCACAAACTAACATGAATGGATCTCTCATAGCTCTACCCCACTTCATCCTTTTGATAAGCCTTACTGCCATCCTTCCCCGTGATCCTACCTACATTCCCTTGTCACCAACATCAAACCTTGCACCCGCTTCCACTCCCTAACACATGCATGAAATCAAAGACAATCCCCCTTGCAGAATCATGGAGTGTATGTGATGTGAAACAATGTGGTGAAACAAGAATTGCTTGCATGAAATTAATAAATTGTGAACTTGGCGTAGTTAAACATAAACGAAGTGTATTCAAGATAGACTTTTAGAAAATTCCACGGAAGAACTAAGTAACGACAATTGATTACAATTAAGAGCAATAGGAGACTAGCAAAATTACATCAACAACAAATACGTAGAGCAAATGGCACGTTAACAAAATCCATGGTTTAAAATCTAGATCATTCACCTTGAGATCCCTCACATACACTCTTGATATCACTCGGCTTAGCGGATGAAGGTTGCAAGCAAACTTAGGGATGCCACTAGAAGACACGTGATGCCGAGGGGACTAGTCGCCGGGGAAGGAGCCGGAGTTGGAGGAGCGAGTGGTCGTCCGATGAGAACCCACGGTGCTCGGGTTTGTTGGAGTTCGATCGTCTCGGCGAGGCAGTAGAGAATTTGTTTGACGTATCTTTCCACCGTTTCGTCGTATTCCCAATCGGGTTCGTAGAAAGGAGAGAGAAGAATGTCGATCGCTCCTTTCGATCGCTCCTTGGGCGTTGTAAGCAAAGCCGTGATCAAGCTCCGGATCGGCCATGCATGATCATGGACAGATCTCAGCGTCGTGGAGGTTTAAGGTTAATGAACCGTCACCTAGGACAGGTGCAGCCAAGAGGGTGAAGAGAGGGGGGGAGGAGAGCTCGGGTTGGAGGTGGTGGGGAGAGGGGAAAGAAGGGGCGGCTTGGTTGTGGTGGGATTAGGAAGGAGTAATAGAAAATCTGAAATTAATTCTAAGATTTAGTGAAATTGGAGGGAATGATTTGAATTTGAATTCAATTTCAAATAAAATGATTAATGGGAGGTGAAGAGTTATGAGAGGTAATTAGAGAGTCTTGATTGAGTGCAATTAATAAAAATTGGAGAGAGAGAGAGAGAGAGAGGGACATTAAAGGGGGCCGGCCATATAGAGGGAGGATGGAGGGGATTTGTGTTAATTAGGTGGGCCCACAATGGAATAAACAAATATTAAATCAAATCTGAACTTAACTTCAGATTTTATCTAATTAGTAAGTTTCCTAAATAGTTTCTAGCAATAGGAAAGATTTTGAATCCAATTAAATTAATTGAATTTTCAAAAAGGAAACTTTCCTAATTGGCTAGGAGGAAATTTAGGAGAGGAAATCAAGACAATTGAATTTGAATTTTCAAATTATGTGAGCAAGAGGGAGGTCGGCGGGTGGCTTGGTTACGGTGGGGGCAGGGTGGATTCCGGCCGGCGGCTTGGTGGTTGGCCGGCGGGTGGGGCGGCCAAGGAGGCCGGCGGGTTGGGGTGGGGCTTGAGGCCTGCTGGTTGGGGTGGGGGTTGGTAGTGGTGGGGATGTAAGGAGGGGAGGTGGTTGTGGCCCGTCGGGTAGTGAGGAAGGAGGGGAGCTCGGGAGGTGGAAATTGGGGGAAGGGAAGAAGAAGAGATAGAGGGAAACCAAGAGCTCATCCGCAGAGGTTGTTGGGTACTTCGATTGAGCCTCTCCAAGGCTTCACCACTCTCTAGAACTCACACAGAGATCCAAAACAAAAGCTAAAATTTCATATTAATATTCATCATCAATTACAATGCAATAGGTCTCCTATCAATAGGTCAAAATGAAAGAAAACTATAAAGACATAAATGCCCTCGGGGCTACAATAGCGACTCAATACCCACAGGGGTAAACTAAGAAAAATAGAAAAATGCAAGAATAAATAAAATACAAGGTATATCAAAATAAAGACTTTGGATCGTAGCCGTCAATCTCCGGCTACGACGACGGTACACATGTTGAAATCTGATGTCCTCATCATTCTCCCTGGGTGGGAGAAAGCTCGACCCCGTCGAGTAAGCATCCCTAGAAGTCTCATACTACTCCAGTAGGTCAGGGTCCAATATCTACAGCTCATCCCGGTCGATCCACGCGTTCTCCATCTCCGGCTTCCCTGTCCATTGAACTAGATACCTTTGGCGACCACCATCTTTAGTGGAAATAATTTCATCACTATGTATTGCCTCAATCTTCTCCGCAGAGGGTAAAGTAGGAATGTTTGGGAGTGGAGGTAGGCTGGGGTTCTCACCAGGTGGGGTCACACAAGGCTCAGTATGTAGTGGATTAGTGGGGTTAAACTCTGGACCCTCAAAGGCTACAAGATCTTCAATGTTAAATGAATGATAAATGTTAAAACCCTCGGGGAGGTCTAGCATATAAGCATTATTATTTATTTTGAATGTTATTTTGAAAGGTCATGCACTTCTCGCATGTAATTTTTTAAGGGACCGGCTCCAGACGAATCCGAACAATTATAAAGTTTTCCACTTCAAATTCTTTAAATCGTTTCTTGAGGTCTGCAGTATGTTTATAGTTAGCATTGCTTTGTTCGATCTTTTTATTAATTTCCTTATGCAATTCTTGTAGATGTGATGCAAATGCAGATGCTGACTCAGATGTTCTAGACTTATGACCCAACAACAACAACAACAACATCAAGCCTTTATCCAGGGGACGCCCTAGCATTAACACAATTTCTTAAAGGAAAAGGATCTAGACTTATGACCCATGCGGATTAAATCTATTGGCTGTATAGGTTGGTATCCGTACAAAATTTCAGCTGGACTCAGACCCGTGGTGCGGTTAACGGACTTGTTATAAGCAAACTCGGCAATAGATAACTTAGAATCTTAATCTCTAATGTGTTCACCTACCAATGTCCTAAGGAGGTTGCCCAGACTCCTATTTACAACTTCCGTCTGACCATCCGTATGAGGGTGGAAAGCGGTGGAGAATTAAAGTTTAGTGCCCATTTTGAACCATAATGTATTCCAAAAATAGCTAGT